GATGATCTTAGAGGTCTTTTCCAACCTCAATGATTCTATGATTCTATGATGATTCTAAAAGAGATATTCCATAAAATATAGCAGCGTGCTCAGCAATAAAATGGGTGGGGAGGAATTTCTCCAAAGTAGCTGTTGCTCGGACACTGGCTGAGTATCAGTCTGCTGGTGGTAAGTGATTGCTTTTGCACAACTTGTTTTTTTGTTTTTTCTTTTCCATTTTTCCCTTTTTTCCCCCTTCCAATTATTGAACTGCCTTTATCTTCACCCATGAGGTTTTCTTGCTTTTGCCCTTCTGATTCTCTCCCTCATCCCATTGAGGGGGAGAGAGCGAGTGACTGGATGGGGTCTTAGCTGTCAGCTGGGGTCAACCCATCAGAGTGGGGGTTTTTTGGCGCCCAACATGGGGCCAGAGGGGTTTGACATCACAATAGATTTGACTGGAGTGTACTAGGCAGGAATTTATAGTAGTTACTATAATAAACACATCAGTGTTTAGCTGTGGCTGGTCATAACATTGATGTATTTGTTCTCGACACTGGTTTATTTCTTCCTTTACCTGCTCCATGGCATGCTCCCTCTCTTACTGTACATCAAATTTGAGGGTTTGTTAATGGCTGCTTTCAGCTTTTGCAGTTTCCTGTGCTGCTTAGCACTTCTTTGTGTTTTGCCTGGGAGACATGATAAAAGCACTGGCCTTGAACCTAATCTGGTATTTATCCATCCGCGGGTCCTGAAGGAACTGGCGGATGAGGTTGCTAAGCCACTATCCATCATATTTGAGAAGTCGTGGCAGTCCGGTGAAGCTCCCCCTGACTGGAAAAGGGGCAACATAACCCCCATTTTTAAAAAGGGAAAAAAGGAAGACCCGGGGAACTACAGGCCAGTCGGTGTCCCCTCAGTGCCTGGGAAGATCATGGAACAGATCCTCCTGGAAGCTATGCTAAGGCACGTGGAGGACAGGGAGGTGATTCGAGACAGCCAGCATGGCTTCAGCAAGGGCAAGTCCTGCCTGACTAACCTAGTGGCCGCCTATGATGGAGTGACTACATCAGTGGACGCGGGAAGGGCTACAGATGTCGTCTATCTGGACCTCTGTAAGGCCTTTGACGCGGCCCCCCACAACATCCTTCTCTCTAAACTGGAGAGGTATGGACTTGATGGGTGGACTGTCCGGTGGGTGAGGAATTGGTTAGATGGTCGCATCCAGAGGGTAGCGGTCAACGGCTCAATGTCCAGATGGAGGTTGGTGACGAGTGGCGTCCCGCAGGGGTCTGTATTGGGACCGGTACTGTTTAATATCTTCATCAATGCCATAGACAGTGGGATCGAGTGCACCCTCAGCAAGTTTGCAGATGACACCAAGCTGAGCGGTGCGGTTGACACGCCAGAGGGACGGGATGCCATCCAGAGGGACCTGGACAAGCTCCAGAAGTGGGCCCGTGTGAACCTCATGAGGTTTACCAAGGCCAAGTGCAAGGTCCTGCACCTGTGTCGGAGCAACCCCCGGTATCAATACAGGCTGGGGGATGAAGGGATTGAGAGCAGCCCTGCCGAGGAGGACTTGGGGGTACTGGTGGATGAAAAGCTGGACATGAGCCAGCAATGTGCACTCGCAGCCCAGAAGGCCAAGCGTATCCTGGGCTGCATCAAAAGAAGCGTGGCCAGCAGGTCGAGGGAGGTGATTCTGCCCCTCTACTCTCCTCTGGTGAGACCCCACCTGGAGTACTGTGTCCACCTCTGGAGTCCTCAGCATAAGAAAGACACGGACCTGTTGGAGCGAGTCCAGAAGAGGGCCACAAAAATGATCAGGGGGATGGAACACCCCTCCTATGAAGAAAGGCTGAGAGAGTTGGGGTTGTTCGAGCCTAGAGAAGAGAAGGCTTCGGGGAGACCTTATTGCAGCCTATCAGTACTTAAAGGGGGCTTATAAAAAAGATGGGGACAGACTTTTTAGCAGGGCCTGTTGTGACAGGACAAGAGGGAATGGCTTTAAACTAAAGGGGGGTGGATTTAGACTAGATATAAGGAAGACAGTTTTTACGCTGAGGGTGGTGAAACACTGGACCAGGTTGCCCAGAGAGGTGGTGGATGCCCCATCCCTGGAAACATTCCAGGTCAGGTTGGACGGGGCTCTGAGCAACCTGATCTAGTTGAAGATGTCCCTGCCCACGGCAGGGGGGTTGGACTAGATGACCTTTAGAGGTCCCTTCCCACCCAAACTATTCTATGATTCTATGATTTAGGCCCTACATTGGTTCTGTCCTAGTACCTTGGGAACCGTCTTGTGGAGACAATTAGCAACTTCTCCTCTTCTCAACCAAGAGCCGATTTGTAGAGGAAATGAAGAATGGCACCTCCCCCTTCCTCTCTCCTGGGGTAGATTTCTTTTCTGCCTTGTTGCAACAGCTCATCAGTTTCTTGAACATCCTTGGGTAACTAGAATGTTCATATTGGTATATGTCAAGAATCTGATTCTGGCTTTTCCTAAGGGTAACTGACTATTTGTGAATGCCACACAGGGATGTGCCCTGGGGTAGTCGGGTCATGGGTCACAAGTTGCATAGGAGAATTTGGGCAGGTACCTAGAGCAATTTTCATGTCCAGTGGTGTGGGACTGCACACCCGAACAAGCATGGTATCCTGTTGAAGTGACAAAACACCTGAAGAAAGGATGCCTTGTCTATGCCAAAGAGACAACTTCTCACGCTGTGCTGAGGCCTGGCCTACACCTATCTCAGTGAGGTGAAAGGGTCTCTGGATCTGAGGACATACAAATGGACACTCTGGCTGAGAAAGAGACCCAACCCTCGGCAATAACAGTTGCTCCTAAACAATGGAAGAGGAAGTCAACTTGGTTAGTAAGGAAGAAGCTTCTAAGAGGAAGCAGGAGGAAGAATCAGAAGAGGCAGCCTGTTCTGCAGCAGAGCAGCCACAAGAACAAGAGAGGGAAGAGACAGAAATCATGAATGAGTGCAGAAACCACCCGGTCCTTATTCCTGAATGAGCTGTAAGATATGTGGAAAGATTACAGCTGTCATCTAGGTCAGCAAATTACCACCTGGGTGCTCTGATACTAGGATACTGGGGCCAGTGCTGAGTCAGGAATTAGAGTGTAAGAAAGCACAGCAACTGGGATCTCTTGCTAAGGACTGGGGAACTGATAAAGGGATCGGAAGAGGGGCAACAATCTGCAGCTTCTGGAGGTGACTTCTGTCAAGCGTGAAGGCAAGGTATCACCTCAGGGAAGATCTTGTAAACTACTGAGGCAAGTGGACGACCATTGAGGGAGATATCTAGCATTAGGGAATTGGTGGTGGAGGTGATCTACAGCAACATGGGCAATAACCAGGGTTCCATAGATCTGGGTGAAGTCCAGTGCACCTAGTCAAAAGTTTGTACGGAGCACACCAACACTGTATGTCAGCACCCTGACAATAATTGTACAGACATTGAGGCACCAACTGTGGACAGACTGGCTGGCCAGCTCTAGCAATACAAAGAGACTCACTCTACCTCCCCAACCCTATGGTCCTGTGTCTCAGCTGTAGAAAAACTGTCACAAAAGTTCCAGCAAATTCAAAGAGAGTATGTTTTCCTCCCCCATACAGGTTGGCATCTTACCTATGAAGAGTGTCTCAGGGAGTCAGCTTTTCTCTTCTCAAAGGAAAGGGAACCATGCATGCCACCCTGTGGTTCTATCTGCATGACCATGGGGAGGACATGAGGAAGTGGGACGGTCATCTGTCTCAAGCCTAGAAACTTGCGTATGCGAATTGCAAGGAAAAACAGCAGCCAAAAAGGGTCCATTCAGGAAGATGACTGCTCCAGTTGCTGTTAAGCAATTCCCCAGACAGAGTGGAAGGACTGATCCTATGATTCTGGTTTGCAATTACAGGAGTCAGGTAATGAATGCTCTGACCAGGAATAGAGGGGCCATGCCTCCAGCCAGGCAGAGGGAAGGCATTACCGGGTTTATTGGACTGTATGGATTCAATAGTCTGGCACATTGGACCCACAGGAGTATAAAGCTCTGCTGGACACCAGTGCACAGTGACCTTAATGCTGTAAGGATACAAGGAGACAGAACCCACCTGGATTTCTGGAGCGAAAGGATAATCCCAACAGTTATCTGTGTTGGAGGCTGAAGTGACTCTAACAAGCAGTAAGTGGCAAAAGCATTTGTGACTGACTTGGAGGCTCTGTGCATCCTTGGAGTGGACTACATCAGGAGAGGCTACTTCAGGAACCCAAAAGGGTACCAGTGGGCTTTTGGTGTAGCTGCCATGGATGCAGAGTATTAAACAGCTGTCTAGCTTGCCCAGCCTTTTAGTGAATTCTTCTGTTGTAGGGTTGCTGCATGTGAAAGAGCAGCAGCGGGGGGGGTGGTGGTGGTGGTGGAGTGAGCAAGCGAGTGGGTGGGGGCTTAGCTGCCAGCTGGGGTCAATCCACCACAGCACCTCTGAGAAGAGCTCTCTCACTTCTATAACCCTTCTCTGAGTAGTGAAAGACAGCAAGTGGAACTCTCGATTCATTCCTGGCTGAAATGCCCTTTTATTTGACAGCCCTACTCTTTGGATGTTACCTTCTTTCCCCCCCCCCCCCCCCAAAAAAAAAATGTGAAAGTTGAGTGGCTAAGTTCTGCTAGATAGCTCCAGCTAGGTAAAAGAGCAAGTGAAATCTTAGTCTTCAAAACTGAAAAGATTTTTTCTGAGCCATTCAGTCCAAATGCTATGTTCAGTGATGGATCGTTTTTCTAAACTAAAAGAATGTCATGGAGTAACAAAATTATTTAAAATATAAGTAAGAATCGTGTTTTAAAACTGATTTTTCAAGTGTATTAGATATTCTCATGTTCATTATGTTAATAATTATCTTTAGGATTTCAAAATGCAAAACCAGATTTTTAAACTTCATCTTCTCATTGCAAATTATACAGAAATATATTTCTGTGATCTAAGGGCTGGATTCATGGGATCTTAACAGTTCAACTGAAACATCTAAGTTAGGAGTTTGGGCTTCCTGCATTGTCAAAAGAACAAAAGAAGGACTCCAGAGGACTTGTTATTCCCCTGTGTCTGATACTGTCTGATATCTCTCACTCTTTCCACTGAAACAAGAGAAAGACTAGACTTGCAAGTTCATCACTTCATGTAGGTTCCTAGCACTAGGAGGGAGGCATTCAAACCTAATCAAAGGGGTAAAAGACTACTGTACTCACAGACCTATACTTTATAGAGTGTTCCAGGATTATGACACACTGTTTGTGAGTGAACTCTGGAGTCAGGTGTCACCTTGATGTGATTCCCAGAACTGTAATTCATGCCTTCACTGTGAATTAGACACTGGGAGCTTATATCGTTGTTTTCTGACTTCTAGGCAACGAGTAACATTTGAGGAGATTTTACCATCCTCTACTCCATTGCCTGCATTGGATCTTCTGAAGAAACTTTTAGTATTTAACCCTGATAAACGACTCACAGCAGAGGAGGCTCTGCAGCATCCTTACGTGAAAAGGTGAGAGTAATACCAATGTACAGTTTCCCCTGATGTCTTTTGAGACATTATAGACCTGCTCTTGGCACAAGTTTTCTTTATATGCATGATAGAAAAAAAAAAGACAAAGCTAATTCTTAATTTTCTCTAACCTTATTTACAGTAGAGGTCATACTAGATGATTTAACAATCCTTTTTAACATTATATTAATCTGTGGTGCTGTTTTTAGTCTTAGTGGATTACATTATGTGTTATCATCTTCTTAGGTTTCACTGTCCTGCCAGGGAGCCCTCTCTGGATTATGATGTGATTCTTCCTTTAGGTGATGATATCCAGCTGTCTGTGGCAGAATATCGAAATAAATTATATGAGGTACTTTCTCTTATCCTATTTTCCAAAATCCTAATCCTCCAGGTAACCTGCCATTCTTGCACACACTTAATGAATTCTGTCATTTTCTTCTATTTGCGTTCCCCTAGGCTTTCCATACATGCTTACAGTTACATCTTGGTGTTTCCTATCAGTCAGTTCCATACTGTCATAATTTTTGAGAAGTCTTTAAATCTAGATTCCCACTGGGAAAAGAAAAGTCTGTAAAGCATGATGTCTGAGAAAGACTATTGGGTCCAGCATAATATATTTTCCTCTAACACAGTCTAAGAGATGCGAGGCTGCTGCCACTCCATGTCCCCAGGTCCAGCCAGTAGCAAGGCTGAAGATGTATTCTCAGTAGGCGCACGCACACAGAAAACACATACATGCTACATATATACATATACACATGCTGGCCACATGGATCACAAACAGGCACTCGGAGCACTCGCACAAACATAGAGAGCACCAACAGCCTCATCCTCCTCCCTTCTCTGGCTGAGCAAGATAGAAGTCCACTCATGAGAATATATATACATACGTACAGGGTGGATCCCTGCAGCAGCTGGTCTCAGACACTCAGTCTGCTCAGTAGCCGGCCCCTGGATCCCAGTCTCCTCGGTTGCTGGCATGTGGATATACAAGCCCCCAAGGCTGCAGCCCTACTCCAGTTGCTGGTACAGACCATGCAGACAAACAGGTGGCCAGGACTTTCCAGGTCCCTTAGCCGACCTCTGCCCCACCCCACCCCCAGTGTTCTCACCCCTAGAGATACACAGGTGGGCTCACACCCAGAGCTGGCCCTTAGAGACTCACTCACCCCCTTGCTCCCAGGCCACTTGATCTATTCACTGACTAGTCTGACTTGATCTTTGCTAGCAATCACATGCTCACTCACACACCTGCGCTCTCTTAAGTTGCTGGCACCATGGTACACACGGGCCCTCTGACCTGTGATCTGACTCCAGTTGCTGGCACTCACATCTGCATACCCACACACGCAGACAGAATAGACAGCCTCTCTTCCAGGAAAGAGAAAGGAATTTGATAAGAAGACAGAGCAAACTGCATTGATCAGGTGCAGGGCATGGCCAGACAAGCTTATTGGCCAGCCAGCTATTTACACAGGACTGGCCGTTTTTATACCTCTTAACCCCTATTTCCCACACTCGATCCTCCCCAAATCACCTAAACCCCTCCTTTTCCCTGCTTTTTGTTCCTAACCTAAACATCCCATAATAAGTCCTGTGTGATCCCAAATGGCTTTCCCCTGCATCCCATAATGTGTCCAACCCCTAGGCAGCAACCTCCACCCTCTCACCCCCCCATCCTCTGGCACCCTTCGTCCAAAAGGTGATCCAGAGAAATCCTGATGACTCATTGTGATGAGTTTCATGCCTGGACAATGGGGCTGATGGCTTTGCTGGGACAGCCCTGGCAGGGACCCAGGCAAGGTGTTGAGAAGCCCTTGATTTGGGTTCCCACCTGCCATAATGCATCCTTGTGCTCCTCTCAGCCTGTGCAGATGGGCCTTTGATGGGCTGATGGCTTCTGTGAATGGGCCAGGGAGTAGCTCAGCAGAGTATTATTTGGTCTCCCCATACTGCTATTGTCTTTCTGAGCTCCACTGTGGGTGTGCAAACAAGCTGTTACCACATAACCTAACAGACTGAGTTTTTTTGCTGGAGAGTAGTCAAGTGCCATTGCATGCTGCACCACATACACAGAACTATTAGATTTCAGAATAATTAATTGACAGAGGAGGAAGAGCAAGTGAAGGATCAGTGTAGCTGATGTGCTAATAATAAAGAACAGTGATGTTTTAGGAGCCATATTTTGAATGCATTAATGTGGGCAAATAGTAGTACTTGAAAAATGAGGAAATGGTGCAATAATCAAGCAAATAAATTAAAAAAAGCTGATGCAAAATCTTTAGTTGTACAGGGACAAGGAAAGATAGTACTTTTGATGTCGTCTGGTATATGCAATAAGATCAAAAGGAAAATAAACATTTGAGTAATGTCTAAAGCAGTGAAAGAAGAACAAAGATAAACACAAATCAGAACTAATTGTAAGAGACACTGAACTGATCTGGATGGTGGTGTTGAGGCAGTAGAGGGAGGATAGCCAGAGTGAATGCTCTAACAATGAAATATGAGGAGCAGCAAAAGTGGAAGTAAATCAAGCCTTCAGGAGGAGAAATTGATTTTGGCTTAGTTTTGTGTTTGGTTTTTTCCCCCCTTTTTACAGTGAAAGAAATTATGTAGATGCCATGTTATGAGGCAAAGGATCTGGAAGAGGGTGAGAAGAGCAGGAGTTGGAATGTAAATGTAGTAAAACAGGCATTGGAAAGAATGATAGTGGGAAGAGAGGATTGAAAAGGAAGCTTAGTGATCAGAAAATCCAAGACTGAGAAAGACTGATAAGGGTGTCCACCTTTCCAGAGAGAGAGGAAAAGTGATATTGCTTCTATTAACAGCAATTAAAATTGAAGAAAGAAACAATAAAATTGCATTTAAAAAGTTGAACCTACTTAAAATTTCTTTTAAGGTCTTTAACAGAAGGAAACTAATAAACTCTACTGTGATAGTGTTAGGAGTCATGAGCAGATGAATTAGTAAAGTGAATACTGAGCACAGGTAGAAAAGATATCCTAAATGTCAATAGATTGGTCACAGATAATCTAGGTACAAGGCTAAGAAACGAGTGAATAGTTTTGAATAATCTTACTGATAGGGTGTCAAATTTGGGATGACTGTGATTACAGGAAGTTGAGAGCAGATTGTCCGCACCAAGACCCAAAACCTTGGCAAGGATTCTGTTGCTAGATAATAGTGTGTAGAGGTAGGTGAGAAATAATTATGAACTAACAGGAATGAATGTTTGCTTTGACCAGAAATCAGCTTTGCAAAGTTCTAGAAAGGGATGGTAAGAAACAAGTGTTAACCTTTTGGGCATATAGATTCTGTCTTTTCCAAGGCTAATGCCCATTTTATTTAGTGGTATTCTCCCTCAGGATATATTGAAATTGCCTGTTCACCCAATCCTTTTTCTTAATGGTTCAGCCTATTCTTTCTTTCTACTGAGAATATTATTTCTGTTTTCTTTCCAACCCTAAATTAATTTTAAAATTATACTTGTTACCTATCCTGTGAAATAAATTGCAGTTATTTGTAAGTCTTTCCCTTTGTTATTATGTTTTGTTCCTCTGCTCTGCTGTGTAGCTGTGTTAAGTCTAACCAACTTCTCCTTTCTGTAGATGATCCTTGAAAAGAAATTAAATAGCCATCCAAAGGAGCAAGTGTGGAGGGAAAACATTCCGCTAAGCCAGTCTGAATCCAGGCCACTTCTTCCAAATTCCAGTTCTGTTACTTTACCTACCAGGAAAGGCCAGAGGGAACCAACACCGCCTCTTCTGAAAACTTCGCATGTGCATGCTGGAACTACAACTAGTGTCCAGCAAGAAGTATCCAGCTGGAGTGAAGATTTAGCAAGAACTTTATGTCAGAGATCAAAGATCAATGTGATATACAATCCCATAACACACACTGCTGTTCAAAGTAGGTACTACCCTCCTACAGTGGGATGTAATCCACCATGAGGCATTATTATGGGAAAGAAAGAAGAAAAGAGATTGAGTGGAGAAAAAGAAATAAGGGGAATTTACATGGCAAAATGAGAGGGTGAAAGTGTGGGAGGAAAATGACATAGGAACAAACACTGTTGAATGAGTTTTGAGTGTATGACATTCTCTTTGGCTCTTTCCTGCCTCAGTCTTGACAATATGTTCCTTTCTGTTTTCTCTTTGCTTCTCTACTGCTGTTATCTTTTCCCATGCCCTTTTGAACTGTTTTTTTTGCTACTACATTCTAATTTTATTCTGAATGTTTTTGTTCTGTTTGTGAGATGAAGTGAGGTGGCAGGGGCTGACTCAGTTTTTATGTTCTGTCCCTGCCTCAGTCAGTGTGTCCTGTCCCCTCATGATTTTCCTACTTTAATGTTTTTCCTTCTGCAGGTAATGCAAATTCTGGTGCTGTGATCAGGAATTGTACTGCACCACCTTCTCAACAGGCCAGAATCTCCAACAATAGGGAACTGAGGAGACAAACCACATGGGCAAATGCAAATGCTCAGCTACCTCCTACAAGTGTACAGAACCTTTATAATGTGAGTAGCAGTCCTACTATAGACAGAAAATATCTTAATCTGCAACTTTGTAAAGATACTTAAATGAGAGGCAAGACATATTGCTTTGTGAGTGACTAAATTAATAGATTTTTATCAGCTAAAGTTACTTATGACAAAGATATACACTGCAGTTTCGTTGCTTGTATGTAGTGTCAGTCAAATGGTACCAGTAACCTAGTTTGATAAGGTAGTTGGGCTTGTATAGAGTATGTTCCCTTTACTAGAGAGCTGAAGAGTGTGCTAACTGAAGAGTTTCTGCTAGTAGGGGAAATAACTAGACATAACTTGCTTCTAATATGGGGTGGATTCATATAGGAACTTGCATATTGCAGTCTTCAGTGTTGCAATACCTACATTTCAGATGTTTTGTCTACTAATGAAGTTTATGACCCTGAGTTAAGTTCTGTGCATGAGGCAGAGTGTTGAGAGGAAGACCATTTATAGTAATCACCAGGAAATGCCAAGGCTGCAGATGTGGCTTAAACCTTACATCTCTGGCATATGTAATGCTGATCTTCAGCTAGTCTGGGTTTATAAACACTAACTTTCTCCTAGAGTCTTAGGTCTAACCCCAGTATTTCAAAAAACCCTATCATCTCTGACTTGAGCAGCAAGAGTATTTTCGTGCCTATAGGTTTATGCAGGAGTTCTGTGAATGACTGTTGAATTTAAGTACGAGAATTAGGTACTTCAGAGAACATGAAGTAAAACAGCCCTTTTGTAAATCTAGGTGTCTGCCTCATTAGCAGTATTTTTTTCACAAAGATTAATTGTAATGGATCATGTATGTCAGCTAACTGTAATCAAAAAGAAAAGCAAAAATATCTCTGCAGATTCTCTGCCTCTACTTCTTTTTCCCATCTTGAGTTTTTAATGCAACCTCTTTTGAGATGTGCTGAGGTATAAGACTTTTTTCCACTGCCCTTTTTCTAGAGGACAGGCTAATTTTGGACTCCATTCTACCTTCAATTTTATCACTTCAGACAAGTGCGGATTTGAACACCATTTCAGATTATCACATTGTTCAGATTGTCAGCAGCACCAAAAACTCCCTTTGACTTTGAGAATCACAGATCAGTTGCTTTTACATTATCTTCAATGATGGCTTGTCCTGTCCAAAGTGTGTAGGTAGCACATTCTTTTTTAACCAAATTGAGACTGTTGCATATTCCAAACGTAACTGGAGAATTCGCACTACCTCTGGAATCAACCTAATGGATTGCTGTTGCTGAACAGTGAAGGTTTCAGTCCTGTCCTCTGTTCCTCTCTTCCCTGTTCTTGGCCACGCTTCCTTGTAAAAGTTCTTATCCTCATTGGGTTCTTAAATGACCTCCTTGCCCCTGCTTTTTCTTTTTCCTGAGCTAGTTGTCTGCTGACTAGCCCAAGGAGAGTCTAGCCAACACAAGGTGATCAGAGGAAGCTTATGGCAGAGGAAGAATATGGAAGGAGGCACCACAGATTACCTTTTTTGTGACACTAAAGATTGACTTGTTTGTCGTGCGACTTTCTCACATCCCCACAAAAGAATACTTGAGAGTCTATGTGCTGGAGCTCCAAACCATTCAAAATGTATGCTGAGCACAGTTGTGTGAAGGGACTTCTGACAGACACCACTATCAAAGATGAGTTGGGTGGGATCACCTGCTTTGTGTCAGCATACAATATCACATTTACCTTGAAGCAAATTATTTCTTTGAACACAGCTCTGAATTATCTGAACCGTTTCAAGCTAGAAACAAGCTGCAGACACTGAAGAGTCAAGCTTGTTCCTACTGGATCTCTTCTTACTGTTGTGATTGATATGAAAATACATATGAATAACTGCTAAAAGAAGACATGATTGCCAGTAACTTACAAGTATGTCCACATGCACACTTGCAACCCATCTTTCAGCCCTTCTGCTTTGGAATCCCATTCAAAATGTTTTGAGAGTGAGAGGAACCATTTATTCCACAAGTGTGGAACCATTTATTCCACAATATGAGATTGTAGAGATTGCTGCATGTGCAGATGTACACATGAACAATGCATTTTGAAGAATCTTTAGGTAATTGTGACCAACTTTGTTACTGGAAGAGCATAATAGGGAGAAGATCACCCTACACATGCCCTGTGCTTTATATTTTTTCCCCAAGAGGCTAATAATGACTAGTGTCAGAGACAGGATATTGTGGTAGAAGGTCATCAGCATTGTGGCTGATCTTATGTTGCGTGAATGTTGACTTCTCCATCTCTCTCATTCAGCCTCGGCAGGAGCTGAAAAGTTCTGACATTCCAGTTTGCTCTGCATTCAGTCTGCATTCATTTTCAATATCCTGTTAGGCTCATGAAACACTTGTTCTCAGCCATTTGACCAGGAAAGACTCCTGTAATGGCTGGGGTGACAGCAGCCAGTGCCACAATAGTGAGTGGAAACTCTTGCCTTTCAGTTAACTGTAGAGGTTCACAAAGCATAAGCTGCAGTGAAACAGCTCTCCTCTTGAACTGCAGATTCAAATTTATTGTAATGTATTAATGTATTATTAACTTTTCCTCACAGGGGCTGATCAACACAGTATCCATATGCAGCTTCCAACTCAGAAAGTCACCAAGCCATTTGGTTGGTAGAAGCCAGGAGGATATACTGGGGAATGATGATGATGATCTGTCTTTTGTGCATATATTTAAAGCATTCACTACTGTTGAAAACAAGATACTAGCCAAACAGGCCTTTGGGCTTTTGCTCCAGTGCAGGATTAGTTTGTCGTGTCTTGCTCCAGTGCCACTAGCTCATTCTTGATACACCCGTTCTTAAGCCCTTCTCCCTCACATCATTCTCACCATCCTATTCTTGATCTTACAAAACAGTCTGTTTTGTTTATTATTCATATAACATTCATGATCTGTCCTACTCCTCAGCTGAAGCAAAATCTGTGTTCCTTATTTGTATTTTAGAAAGTTGATTACAGGTTACTAACTATCTTGGCTTTTCTTTCTCACACAGAATCCAAGAAATACTCAATTGCACAGCAAAGATGTTCATCCTCTTCTGAAGTCCAGTAAAAAGATGTTCCAGATTACTGCAAATATGGGAGCTGCTGGTGATCCGAAAGCATCAATGGGTAGTTACTCCCAGGCCTATGGAACCATATGTAAATCCGCACTGCAGAGTCTTCCAATATCAAATTCCTCCCAACAGCATGAGCAGTGAATATGGAAGTGTTCTAACCAGGTGAAGTACAGTTCATCTCATCAGTCCCCTAACTTAGCCAGTAACAGCAAGTGAGAGCAAAATACAACAGGCGTTTGACAGTTACCCCAGCTGAAGGGATATGCTTTATTCATTGCATAGAACAATGTACTACTTTCCTCTGGACGAACCAAGAGGAAAGCGAATGTAATCCCTTTGCCTTCCAGTCTTACCAGACAAGGGCACGGCACTATTTCCTCCCATACCGTGAGAACAATTAATACTGTCAGTTCATATTCCTCATTTGAATTTATTGCAGAAATTACAGAAAACTGCAATATTCTGATACTTGAATGTATTTAGATATATTCAGACTATTCAGGGCCTGTAGACATATTCAGACATATTCAGGGCCCATGTGAACCTCATGGGGTTCAACAAGGCCAAGTGCAAGGTCCTGCACTTGCATCAGGGCAACCCCCAGTATCAATACAGGCTGGGGGATGAAGAGATTGAGACCAGCCCTGCAGAGAAGGACTTGGGGGTACTGGCGGATGAAAAATTGGATATGAGCCGGCAGTGTGCGCTCACAGCCCAGAAAGCCAAGCGTATCCTGGGCTGCATTGAAAGAAGCATGGCCAGCATTTCAAGAGAGGTGATTCTCCCCCTCTACTCGGCTGTCATGAGACCCCACCTGGAGTACTGCATCCAGCTCTGGGGTCCCCAGTATAAGACAGACATGGACCTGTTAGGGCAGGTCCAGAGGAGTGCCAAGAAAATGGTCCAAGGGCCACACCTCTCCTATGAAGAAAGGCTGAGAGAGTTGGGGTTGCTTAGCTTGGAGAAGAGAAGGCTCTGGGGACACCTTATTGTGGCCTTTCAATACTTAAAGGGGGCTTATAAGAAGGACAGAGACTTTTTACCAAGGCCTGTAGTGACAGGACAAGGGGCAATGGGTTTTAAACTGAAAGAGGGTAGGTTTAGATTGGACATAAGGAAGAAATTTTTTACGCTGAGGGTGGTGAAACACTGGAACAGGTTGCCCAAAGAAGTTTTGGATGCCCCATCATTGGAAGTGTTCAAGGTCAGGTTGGACGGGGCTCTGAGCAACCTGATCTGGTGAAAGATGTCCCTGCCCAAGGCAGGGGTGTTGGACTAGATGATCTTTGAAGGTCCCTTCCAACCCATTCTATGATTCTTTAGCAGTTTCAGGTGCACTGCCTAAATGCGGATTTTTTTTTGAGCAGAACAGGTAAATAACTATTCTCTGAAGACCAAGAAGACTAAACTCTTCACAGATAATCTTAAAGCCCTTCATTTTGTTTTCCACTTATTTCTATGACTCTTCTGGGGTAAATGAACATAATCAATGGTGGCTTCTTTTCATTTTTATCAAGTAGAAAAGCATTTTAAATATAGGTGGGTTCTGCTACAATATTTAATAGCTTACCTACCATGTAATATTGTAAATATTGTAATAACAAATACTTTATATTGCACTACAGAAAACCTTTATCTTTCAATCAATGTTTGCTGTGTGTGAAAGGGAAAAATACAGAGGTATCTTGTTCAATGAATAATATGGTAATTTTTTTTTTTTGCTTTCAGAAAGCAATGTTCCAAGAGATACTATTGCTGAAACATCATGAAGTTGTAATCAGGCAACAGTGGGACTATAGTAAACTTTAAAACTATATTCCTGTTTTAATGCTGATTTTTGATACATTCTCCTCTTTAACTTGAAGTTCTTCTAAGAAGTCTCTGTCCCTGAAATTTTACTTCACCTATGATAAATGATTGTTATTCCAGAATGTTGGGACTATAGTTACAGAGGGGATTCAGGCACTAAATTCCAACATGTGAGTACCACTGCCATTGATAGGATATCCATTTTATCTTTTAGTACCTAAATACCAAAGGCTAGTTAAGTAAAAAAATAGTACATTCACTTCTGGTACCAGGTGTGGTCACTTAAGTTGTGTAATACTAGGGAGCTGGGAATGCAGCTCACAGGGAAGTCCTGGTTTATTCTGGTATATTCATAAAATAGGCATTTCCTGTCTATCTCAGCTACAGGTAGATATAGGAAATGGCAATGACAGGGTGAACATGTTGTGTAGGCAGTGCTCTGTGCAGCATGTTGGCTCTTGTGAGTCTAAGATGCCAGTTCTCATGCACAGAAAAGGCAGCCTACTGCTTAATTCAGGGTTGTGACTTCCACTGAAAGCCTAGCACCTAGCAATTTGATGATACCACACAATGTCTAAGATCCTCTGTGAACCTAGTCTCAGACTGAGAGGTGATGGGCTGTAACACTAACTTTTTATTCTTGAAATGGCTTCTGTTATTACCAAGTGAATTAGTTATTCTGCAATATTTGTATACACCTAGAACATCTGGTAATCAACGTATCACTAAAAGAGATGAGTCATTCTAGTTCTGGTCAGGAACATACTTCTACACTGCATCATGCTGAGCAAGATAAAATTCTAAAAATCTAAACAAGTACAGCAAAATTCTAAAATGTTAATGTAATCTGTGACTATAGAAATATTTCTAACTTGTCTGTTACAGAACGATGCTGGAGCAGATATGGAATGATGTGAGTAAGAATTACACAAAATAGGCTATATAGGTATATATCCTATTATATATATGCTAGCCCTATCTTCCTCTCTAGAGTAAAATAATCTCTATCTGTATCATCTGGCAGAGAACAACTGTATTGATCATTACAGTTCATTTTGGAACCCACCAATAACTGGATCTGATTCATTACTAAGAGCAGACAAAATAAGTATACATACAGCATTCATTTAAGAATTTGTACATAGGTAACAGATTACGGGTTGTATCTGAAATGGTATACACTTATACAATATGGAATAAGCATAAGAAATCAATTTCAGCTTTTTTTCCAATTTTGGCCGCTTCATTCCTCCTTTTTTTTTTTCTTTTTTCTTCTCAACTTTATTTCTAGGTTTACCTCCTCATGTTAAAATGATAATTCCTCTTGATTTTTGCAGATTTTTACCACCATATGTATTAATATGGAAATCAGCTTAATTTTTTTTCAGATCAGACAATCTATCTTCCCGCACATTCATTTCCCAAGGTTTTCAACAAACAGTAAAATAATAATTAATTGTTACATATATATAAATTATACAAAGCCTGCTAAATTATATAAAGCCTGTTACCGTGGGAGCTGGCATCCTAAAAACAAGCTAAAGTTTTAGAGATCCTACTAAAGTTACCTTCAGGAACCAATGCAGCCTCTTGCCTCCATCTGTCAGCCATGTACCTGAACTGATTTGCTGAGCTTGCAGCTAGTGTCACAAGTTGGTAATCATGAAACTCAAGCTAATGGGAATGGGAAATTCAGAAGACTAGTTCCATGTGAGAGCATTCTTCCCTGTCATCTCTTTAGACTACAGCACAAAGATCAGGAAAAAAAAAATCCCAATTTGGCAATCCTTGATGGATGCCAAGCAGAGACAGTCCAATTTAGACTACGCACAAAGATCAGGAAAAAAAAAAATCCCAATTTGGCAATCCTGATGGATGCCAAGCAGAGACAGTCCAAGCTGGGGAAAAAACCCAAACAGCTAAGTAACTAAACATGATGTACAGCATTTTCTTGATAGCCTCTGTCTCTACCTTCTGTCCTGCAAGACACTATAACACAACAGCATGAACCTACAGGCTAATCTGAACTGTTTTAAAGCTGCATGGTTAAGCTTGGTACCAAACTACTACAAGAAAGTTACATGAGATAAAACACTTCTGAGCTTGAAAATTCCAGCAGCCTTATTCCTTCCATTGTTATGAGTCCCTTCTTTCCTTGTCTTCACGTGGAAAGATGTGCTAACAAATGAACGTGCCCTCCTCCGCACAATCACTTCATGAATTGGAGTTACATTGTCAAGGAAGTTACTACTTAGCCAAGACAGCATTTTAGATGCTTAATTAAACTCCTGACTCAGCTGAAAAGGAGTCCTAAAAACAGGTCTTTCTCCATTAATAGCATGGCAATTTCCTTTTTTATGGCCTTTCAGCTGCTGCTTTCAGCTCACCCCCTAAAGCAATACTTCCATTACACATAAGGAAACAAACCAATAACAAACCAGAATCAATAGGCTTGGAAAATGGTAAATATGAAAGCTGACCATGTACTGCTAGACAAGACCATAACCATAGATAAGGGCAAAAAGTTGTTTATAATATTTTTTTCTCCTGTAAACCTTCAAAAAGGTGCCTCCAGTATTTGATTCGTTATAAGATACAAAGAAAAGATAACTGTACCTGAGAAACAAATGGTTTTTAAACACTTTTTCCAGTTAATGCACATGCGCACGTGTGTGTTTGTGTCTGTGTGTATTTTTCTTTCCTGGACTGAACTCAGAAATTGAATTCTTTATTTTTTATTCTTTCCTTCTGAAATTGAAATTGTTTTGTCTGCTGAAAATATTCCCTGAGCATAACATAAAGAGACTCTTACTTTATTTCTTTGTTTTAAGCATCTTGGCAATTTAATAATTTTATTTGAAACATACTGTGATAAGGTTGCCTGATACCACATGACTTTATTGGGCAATTTGTGCGATAAGAGTCTAATGCTGAACACATTTCCACTCACTAACCATGAAGAGTATTGCCTATGATGCTTATAGCCATCATAAACAAGTTAATTCCTCATTCCCCTTTGACAGTCAGTGATTATATGGAATTAAATAGTATTTCTATGATCATTTTTTGGTCTTGAAGGTCCCCAGGATTTTGGGCATGAATTTTCCCATCTTCTTGTCTTTGGCATCTGTGTCATATTCCTCTTCACTTTGACTTGTATGTTCATCCTTTTTGCAGAAGACCTCAAATCTACTGTAGACTCGCTTCTCCTTCCGCATATTCTCCATTTTTTTCAGAAGGGTATCTCTATCCTCTGATGGTTGCCGCTGAAGATTTCGTTTCTGGCTCCCAAAGCTCTCTGACCTGTGGATGTTACAGCTTTTCTCCTTCTCACCTTTCCTTTCCAAGCTTGTAGTTGACTTAGAAAGATCAGGATTACTAGTGGATGGTAGTTGCTTGGCCAGTTCAGCTCTGTTCTTCTGACTGTTTGCAGAGATTTGTTCCAAAATCACCTTGGTATCATCACGGAGGTTGCTGCTGTACAGGATGTTAGCTGTGGATGAAGGAAATCTCCCCTGTGTTGGCTGGCTGCTTTTGGGAGGAAGTGGTGTTGCAAATTTATGGTTTTTTTCTTCCTCCATCATTTCCTGACAATCTCCTATGGAAGATCGTTTGAGAACCACAGCCTGCTTGTCAGATTTTCCACTCTCAGAAGTGGATTCCTCCTCCGATTGCTTTTCACCTTTTGGGTTCAAAAGCTGCTTCAGCCGTAGTGACCCTTTTCTTAAAAATTCCATTGGATTTTGTTCTTGTTTTGAACAGTCTTCCTCAGATTTATTGAGAGAGCTGTCAGATCCTTGACTTCTAGATAAGTTTTCAAGAACTGATGTGGTACTTGTCCTAACCTGTGGTTTCTTCAGTTCTGTATTGACTAATTTTTGCGTGTCTTCTTTGAATGTCACTCTTTCCTTCTTCTCTGGAAGAGTCAGTTTCTGAGTGTCTCCTACAAATATAAGACTCTCCTTCTCTGGAAGAGCAGATTTATTCTCTATGGAGTAAAACCGAGATGATAATTTGTCCACCTTAGTGCTAATATGTGCTAGGGGATCTTTACTCAATGTGTCAGCAAGCTGTGGGGTTGATGAGGCCATTCCGAATGGTCTGTCAGCCTCTCCATGCACTTTGTAAGTACTGCAGGAGTCTTTGGAGTCTAGTACCCTACTCTCCAGAATCTTATATTGCACAGATTTGGTACATTTCTTCTCTGTGTTCTGTGATTCTTCCTGTAGATAACTGGAAACAGCTTTGGTATGAGTGACTGTAGCTCGCTCTGTGTCTTTGCCCACAGCTTTGTACTTCTCTAAAAGTTCTGCCACTTTAGATGAGGCGGCTGTCTTTATAGTTTCATTGTCTTTTGTCAACTCACTGGACATTTGTTCTTTTTGGATCATCTGAACCTTTTCTATTGTGGTGTTAGGCTGATCTAACTTGGCAGCACTGAAAATCAGAGAGGACCTGAGTCTTGAGCTCCTCTGAATCAAAGGATTTATTCTGGACCTAAAGGCATCTTGTTTCATTATAGGGGTTTCTTCACCTACTCTATCGGGATCTGCAAATTCTTTGGCATTTTCAATTCCCAGTGACTTGCTATTAAAAGACATAGGGGATTTGAATGCTGGGATGAGGTCAGTGGGGTGCTTTGTGACGGTATCCCCAAGAACATCATTATATGCCTCTGATTCCATAGGCATTGGAAGACCTTCTTCTGGTTCGGACTGGTATGCACTAAGGTATGAAGAAATCCTCCAGTTACGTAAACCTGTTCTATTTTCCTGTGTGTTCTTGTCTTCATCTTGGTCTTCATCTTTGTCTTGTAAGAACAGGCGTTGTTCCAGGCTTTGTTTCTGTGTAGGAGAAGTCTGACAAATAAATTTCTGTCCTATATTCTGCCTTCTTAACATCATTCCCATTGGGCTATTGCCTGCAGGATTCAGCTGATCAGAGCCATGTCTCACCTCCCTGGAAGAATTTGAAGGTACGTAATCCAGCCTTAAGGGGAAACCCTCCTGTGGAAAATTGGGTTCAAGTTCAGGGTATCTGGGTCCCTCTCCATAGTCTTCCAGTTCATTGAATCCTGGCCTACCACCTCGGATTCTCTCAAAGAGTCCCTGAGGTCTGCCAGAAAGATGGGGATGTTCAAACTGGTACTGGTAGAACTGATCCTTCTGAAAATGACTAGACTGGATTTTAAATTCATCCATATTGTTCATGAACATCTGCCTGGCATACTGTTTAGAAGAAGCAAAATTTTCAAATGTTCCTTCTGCAAAACTGTGTCTCTTAAAAGCATCCAACTCCAACTGCTTGGAACGGAGAAAACCCCTGACAGGATCCACCTGAGAATTCTCCATTTCTACCTTTTTATACATTCGCATGGCCGACCCCTCCACAGTATGGCGCAACATGTCATCCCGCCTGAAATTTGACAGGAAGTACCTGTCTGGATCAACTCTGTCCATAAAGGAGGGAAAAAGATTGTCATCCCTCTGGAACATCAGGGGTGGTTTTTTTTGAAAGAAAGGCATGTTATTGCCAAAGGGAGTCATGGCAAATGTGTTCTCTGCCTTTGCCAAGACATTGGCTGGAGGAACAAGAGGTTCTGACTGTGCAAACAAAATTCTGAATTCTTCATCGAAGCTGGCCACCAGCTCCCCCTGGAAGATGTGTGCAATGCTTCTGTGAATCTTCTCAAAAGACCACATAAAACTACAAAGAGAAATAGAAGTAATGATAGCATATTAGCATCAAGTAACTCGATTGTACCACTTGACATTAGAACCATTTGCTTGCCTGAAGAAAATACTCCTGATACTATTTACTGCTCAGGCAGCCATTCATTACACAGTATTGTTCCCAAGCCTCATAGTTATGAAATTATTTGGCATCACATCTTTGCAGAGGATTTTACAAGGCAATAAATGACTTCTGTTCTAAAAAAGCCAGTCAGTAGTAACAACAGTAAGAGAGCGAGCTGATGATAATCCTTATATGAAGTAGATGTTCCTGCAATTTCTTTGGGTTGCAGTTGGTTTTTATAACTAAAATGTTGTGCCCATCTTTAAAAAGAGCAAAAGGATCAACTAGGGAACTACAGCAAGTCAGCCTTACTTCAGTCTGAGGGAAAATTGTGGAGCAAATCTTCCTGGAAGCCATTTCCAGGCACAGGAATAACAGAAAGACAACTGGGATCAGACAGCAGGGATTTACCACGGGCAAACCATGCCTGACCCAATCTGATTGCCTTCTACAAAGAGAAGGCTGGCTGTGTGGACAAAGGGACAGCAGATGATGAGGTTTTTCTTGACTTTAGCAAGGGTTTCCACATGGCCTTTACCTAAGTATCGTTGTAGCCAAATTGGAACACTGCGGACTGAATGAGTGTGCCACACAGTAAACGGGAAATTGGTTGGACTGTCAGGTTTAATGAGTGGTGGTCAGTGATTTGAAGTCTGACTGGTGGACAGTTATTAAGTGGTGTTCCTTGGGGGTCAGGTCTTGGGGAAATAGTCTTTAACACTGTCATTAATGACCTGGACAACAGGACAGTGTGCACCCTCAGCAGGCTTGCAGATGACACCAGAATGGAGGGATGGCACAGTTGATGTGCCTGTCAGGGGGACCTCAACAGGCTGGGGAGAAGTGCTGACTGGAACCTAATGAAATTGAGTAAAGGCAAATGCAGAATCTTGCACCTGGGACGGAACAACCCCATCCACCAATACAGTCTTAGGATGACTATCTAGAAAGCAGCTTGGCTGAAAATGACTTGGGGGGTCTGGCAGGCAACAAGATGAAAAAAGATGGCAGTGCCTTTGCAGCGATGGTGGCTCAACACATACAAGGATGCAGTAGTAAAAGTGCAGCCAACAGGTCAATGGAAGCGATTATTTCCCCCTAATCAGCACTTGTGACACTGTATCTGGAGTACTGAGTCCAGTTTTCACAGAATCACAGAATGGTTGAGGTTGGAAGGGACCTTTGGCGGTCATCTGGTCCAACCCCCCCGCCCCTGCTCAAGCAAGGCCACCTAGAGCCAGTTGCCCAGGACCATGTCCAGATGGTTTTTTAATCTCTCTAAGGAGAGAGATTCCACAAGGTCCCTGGGCAACCTATTCCAGTGTTGAGTTAACCTCACAGTAAAAAAGTGTTTCCTTATGTTCAAATGGAACCTCCTTTGGTGTTTCGAGCAAGGCCACTAGAGCCAGTTGCCCAGGACCATGTCCAGATGGTTTTTTAATCTCTCTAAGGAGAGAGATTCCACAAGGTCCCTGGGCAACCTATTCCAGTGTTGAGTTAACCTCACAGTAAAAAAGTGTTTCCTTATGTTCAAATGGAACCTCCTTTGGTGTTTCGGTTTGTGCCCATTGCCTCTGGTCCTGCCACTGGGCACCACTGAAAAGAGCCTGGCTCCATCCATACTCTTTGCGCCTTCCCTTCAGGTATCGATATACATTAATAAGATCCCCCCCAAGCCGTCTCTTCTCTAGGCTAAACAGTCCCAGCTCTCTCAACCTTTTCTCACATATGAGGTGCTCTGGTCCCTTCATCATCCTTGTGGCTATTCACTGGACTCTCTCCAGTATGTCCATATCTTTCTTGTACTGGACACAGTACTCCAGGTGTGGCCTTACCGGTGCTGAATAAAGGGGAAGGATCACCTCCCTCAACCTGCTGGCAATGCTTTGCCTAATGCAGCCCAGGACACCATTTGCCTTCTTTGTGGCAAGGGCACATTGCTGGCTCGTGTTCAACTTGGTGTCCACCAGGAACCCCAGATCCTTTTCTGCCAAGCTGCTTTCCAGCTGGGTGGCCTCTAGCATATACTGGTTCATGGTTTCCCAGTTTTAGGCTTCCCAGTACAAGAAAGCTGTTGACAAAGTGGAGGAAGTTTAGCAGAGGGCTACCAAGATGGATAGCAGGATAGAGTATATTAGGTACGAGGCAAGGCTGGAAGAGCTGGGCTTGTTCAGCCTGAAGAAAAGTATGCTAAGGATGGCAGGAGTGGGGGGTGGGGGCAATAAGCTGATTGCTGTCCTCAACTACATAAAGGGTGGTTAGAAGGAAAATGGAGCCAGCCTCTTCCCAGAGGTACACCGCAGGATACAAGGCAACAGATACAATTGTAGCAAGAGAAATATCAATGAGCTATAAAGAAAAAAATTATTCACAACAAGGGTAGTCAAACATTGGAGCAGCTGCCCTGGAGATACTCAAAACCCAACTGGACATGGCCCTAAGCAACCTTACGTAACTTTGAAGATAGCTTCACTTCGAGCAGGGATGTTGGACAGCTGCCAGTAAACTGTAGATGAGTACTTTCAGACTGAACTACAAAAGGTTTCTAATATCAGCATAAAAAAGGCTTATGTTTGCCTTCCTATATGATGTTATTTGAGGGAGTTTTTGAGGCTGCAGTGGGGGAGGAGATAGTGACAGACTGGAGTAGATTTTGGTTATGAACAAGGATGAAAGATATGCTTTGGTCTAACAATAGAAAATGGGATACAACATATACCCCTTGATTGAGATACTCGGGCATAACATGGGTATAGTACAGTTATTAACAATAAAGGCATCGGTAATTCCATACAAGTAACTTGCTCTTGAAACGTAAAGGCCTACTCCTTGGTCTCTTTAACTATTCTGCTTTGAAGGGAGTTGTTGGATTAGGGTTGGTCAGTGGTGCCCAGTGACAGGATGAGAGGCAATGGGCACAAACTGAAACACAGGAGGTTCCGTTTGAACATAAGGAAACACTTTTTTACTGTGCAGATGACTGAGCACTGGAATAGGTTGCCCAGGGACCGTGTGGAGTCTTCCTCCTTAGAGATATTTAAAAACCGTCTGGACACGGTCCTGGGCAACTGGCTCTAGGTGGCCTTGCTTGAGCAGGAGCGGGGGCGGTTGGACCAGATGACCACCAGAGGTCCCTTTCAACCTCAACCATTCTGTGATTCTGTGCAGGAAGAAGGAAGACGTTCAGCGTTATGGCATTTGCCTTCCCAAGTCAAGCTCTGCTTTCCTGGACATGGCTAGATATCTGCCTGCCAATGGGAAGTAGTGAATTGATTCCTTATTTTGCCTTGCTTGCGTGTGCAGGTTTGCTTTAACTATTAAACTGTCATCTTCTCAACCCACAAGTTTTCTCACGTTTGCCCTTTCAATTCTCTCCCACATCCTGCTGGGAGTAGTGAGCGAACATCTGTGTGGGACTTAGCTGCCTACTGGGGTTAGCCCACAACACCTTATAATTACTGTATCTTTTTTACAGATCGTTTACACTCTTGATGTGAAGGAAGCTTGGCTTCAGGTGTCTGGGCTTGAGGGCTTGTTTAATTGGTGTATCTACCTCAGTTGCAAAATGGTGTATTTTTCCTGAAAATTGCTGCTCAGTATCCTTCAGTGAGAAAAAGTTTTGTCACTGATGTTCATTTGGAAGTGCCAAAGCACTGCTTTACCAATTAACCAGCCTCTTTCTCACTGAAACTGGGACATGTAACATTGCAGGGCTTCTCACCTGTAGTTGCCACTCAGCACCACCATGCAGTCCACCAAGAGGAATTTCTCTTTCAGATGGCCTTTGAAGGACATCCCTGTGCGGCAGTAGTAGGTTGGGCCAGAAACTGTCCTCACCCTTAGGAACTGCAAACCAGACAAGCACTGACTCAGTTGGAAGCTGTTACTTCCCTCCCCCTGCCCCTCCTTCCTCCCCTTGCTCTTTTAACTTCCATCCTGCCACCATTTTTATACTTCAGCTCTAGTGAGTCTGTCTGCATACACAATGGATAGATAAACCCGTTTATTAGTGTGACCTCAGCCTTCAGTCCTGTATTGTTGTGCCAGCTCTTCTAGCTTTCTTCATACTCATCTTTCACTAGGCTCTGGCCCATTTTCCCCTTTCTCAGGTTTTTACTGTCATAACAGCCCTCTGTGTCCCAGGACGTATCCCCTTCAGGATGCAAATTAGGGGCAGGGCAGGTCTTTGGTTTGCTCACCTCCACATAGTTAAGATTGACTCTGCATTTAGCAGCTGTATCAAGGAAAAGTTGAGAGTTCATTTCATCCAGCAAGATGTACACAGGCACTCTGCGAGCAGCAGCATCCAACACCTCAAACAGCAGATCCACATCAGTGAAAATGTCCATCACTATGGCTACCACCTAGGAAAAGAATGCAAGACAGACATCAGCGATCTGTGCCTGCTTATGCCCTGACTGATCACGTTCCCCAGCACCTCACATTCCAAAGCTGCACTGCTGCACTGTCTCCATTTCAACTTTCTTTTTAAAGAGGAACCTTCCCATTTAAAGGTTCCTTTAAACATTGTGGGCCCCAGAACTGGAAACAGAATTGCTAAGGTGCATATTCTGTATATGAGGGTGAGAGGTGAGGGAAAAACCTCACTGCCACTGAGCGTTCCCTTACTCATTAATCCAATGATAGCAGGTACTTTTTTGGTCACGTAACCACACGAAGGTTGTATTGAGCTGCTTGGCCACTACCTGCTCACCCCCTCCAACACACCCGTGCCATTTTTAGAAAACTTCTTGGCCAACGTTCAGTCAGCCACTATATAGCTGCATCTATATGCTGATAATATGGGAAGTAGCTTCAAAGCTCTATCTCCCTGTCCTTCCCAACTCGAAATTATTTTATCAGCGAGTATAAACACCTGATGGAAGAGTGTAATGAAGATGGAGCCAAACTCTTCTCAGTGGTACCCAGTGAAAGGACAAGACACAAATTGAAATATAGGAAATTCCAGCTATACATAAGAAAAACCTCTTTTACTGTAAGGGTGATTGAACACTGGAACAGGTTGCCCAGAAAGGTTGTGGAGTCTCCATCCTTGGAGATACTCAAGGACGTGTCCTAAGTAACCCTCTCTAATTGATCCTGCTTTGAGCAGGGGGGCTGGACTAGACCGTCTCCAGAGGTCCCTTTCAACCTCAACTATTCTCTGATTCTGTGAACTCTTGGTATATTTTAGCATGGCCTTACATGCTTTTCCATGAGAGCAGAGACTAGCTTTGATGCAGTAAACGGTAGTTTTAGAATAATCCTTCCCCTCTGTCAGGTTCTGGGAGCTAAGTTAAGGGAATTAGCAGAGAACCTGATGCATTTTGTCAACTATTCCTGATTCTGTGAACTCTTGGTATATTTTAGCATGGCCTTACATGCTTTTCCATGAGAGCAGAGACTAGCTTTGATGCAGTAAACGGTAGTTTTAGAATAATCCTTCCCCTCTGTCAGGTTCTGGGAGCTAAGTTAAGGGAATTAGCAGAGAACCTGATGCATTTTGATTCATCTTTCGCACACATACAATTTTATATAGAGCTCTAGTTGCGCTGTTCACTGTCTCACCTGTTGAGCTGCTCGAATCATTCTGCGAGCCTCCTCCTTAATGCTGGGATTGTCCGGGGGTGGTGGTTGCACGAGGGTTGTCACCTCTGTTCCCCTGAACCCAAAGACCATTGGCCAGCCCAGGTCAAGCTCAGGAACAGCGAGGTCTGAGTTCATGGGCCAGTAAGTCCCAGAGGATCCATCCATGTCATTGTCACCTGCGGTGTCTGTGCTACCTTCCTGATTGGCATACTGGGGTTTCTGGAGATTCTGTATGATGTGATCCACCTCTGAGTTGCAAAGAAAATCAGGGGCTGCTTCCTCTGCAAGGAAGCGTTGGTAACTTTCTTTGCCCTCTTCAGTAAGCACATCCAGAGCTAAGCGGTAATACTCCTTGTAATGGGGGGGAAGATAGTTAGGGTCAAGGGGATTGTCCCCCTGTGAGGAGCTTTGAGATCGACGAGCCATGAGGGGAGGGAGAGCTGTAAGAAAAGAATAACCAGCAATGAGAGCAGTTTCACTCCAGTGACACATCCATGCCCATAAATGGTGAGAGCTGGGGGTTCATGATGGCAAAATCAAAAGGGAAGAGATTCAAAGCACACAGAGTAATGTTGGAGAAAGTTCATTCAGAACAGATGGGGAGCCTTAAATTAGGCAAAGGCGGTAATCACTTAAGCATTACTTTTACAGAAATGTTTTTGGGCAAAATAAAGAACAAATCAAATCGGGCAGCACTGTGATGAACAAGGATGATGCATCTAACAGAATGCCCAACTTTCTTTTTTAGGCTGCCAATTGCTAAGCTTAAATTTGTCTTTTGTTTCAAAGCTACCTTTTTTTTTCTTTTTTTCCCCTCTAAAGAACAATGCTGTTGGTTATTATTTGGGCTCCATTAAAACTCATTTCCAAATGCTGGAATTATTTACTGTGTGTAATATGGCACTAAACCAAAAAGCATATGCATGTATACAACTGCACCCTCTGAATCCTTATAAATTGAGTGTTATAATCACCTCAGCATATGAATAGAAGCACGGTATGAACGGAATGCAGGCAAGTATAAGGGTAACCTGCTGTTGTAACATGGTCAGAAGTCAGACAAGTCTTCATGAGATCCATGAAGAAATAAAAACCAAGGGACATGATTGCTTCTTCAATCGCTTGATGTTGGGAAAAATCTGAGCTGAAGGGGCTCGTATTCAATATTTGACAATTGTCTGTAGGGAACCTATTATTTGAGACTAAAGACAAATTTGATTTTAACCAATTTTTGGAAGAAAAGCTTGTTGTGCCACAAATACAACTCAATAAATAATATCCTATTGATCTGCAAAGAACTCCAAAGCACTTTGGCTTCTGACCCTCAATTAATGTCAATGCTCGGACATACTTTTCCTGGGGCCCCAGCACTGACATGCCAACATAGGCTTCCTCATAATCAAAAAAGAGCGTGGCTGTCCTTGACCACTCATGCAAAGTTACATTAATAGGAACTGTGAGTATAGAGGGTGAAAGTGGCTGCTATTGTCATTGCCATCCAACACTTCTGCTCCCAAAATGGAAGGGATTGCCATGGATGTGGAAGAAAAAAAGACTTCAGGCCCATACTATCACTCTCATTAATAGCTGTAAGTATAAAGCTAGATTAGTTTCAAGATGAAGCCTGAGTGGACTTTATCTGACTACCTGCATAGCACAGATCAGTGCTTTGTTACTCGTGCCTCAAGCTCCCACAAGTTACTTCTGCTTCAAACTATAACTCCTAGTAGAGCTGCACGATACCACAGGAAAAAATATGGTCTTAATATGAGGATAGCAGCTGAATCTAACAGATCCCTGTGCAAAGTATTCCAATAGAAAATCATCTTTATAGTCTACATATGTAGCCTTATTTGTAGTCTGAATTGTCTAGATTTATCTTCCCACTCTAATTCTCATTCTATCTTTTTTTCTCTTAAAATAAAAAGCAGTCCACTATATACCTCCATTTTGGTGTGCTCAAGTCACCTATGTACCTGCTCTTAACTATTTCAGTAGTGTCTTTAGCCTTTCATTTTAAGGAAATGCTCCCAGAGTTCCATTCATTCTTGGATACGAGACCAACATATTCAACATATTCAGATACAACCCATAAAGGGGATGAGTGGTCATGCAGACAGCAAACTGCTCATAATGCTAGCTTGCTCAGAACAGTAATGATGAGAGCCAACTACAAAAACAAAAAACAAAGAAGCAGCAGAAGAACCTTACGATACTGACTGGACAATCAAAATGACAGAGTGAATATAATGTTGATAAATATAAAGTGGTGAAACAACCTTAATTTTATATTTTATTGATTAATATAATTATTTCAACACTGTTATAAATCAAGAAGGAGAAGATGGACTTTTAATGGAAAAGTGTCAGCTAATGCTAAGCATTATTAGGTAAGGAATAGAGAAAATAACACCACTACACAGATTCAGAGGGAACTCACAACCTGAATGTGTTGTGAATATGAAAGTCTCATTCCTCACATCTTGAAAAAGGCTATTATAAATCTGAACTATGACTCTTTAGTCTAGAGAAGACATCTACACAGTATGACCAGGGACAGCTGTCCATTTTCTCCTCCAGTACAAGAACTAAAAGGGCATAAAATTAAACTAGCAGGTAGTGGGTTCAAATTGAACACCAGGAAATACTTTTTCTCATTTGTACTTACTCTGCAGAACTCCTTCCCACAGGATGTTTTAGGATGGTTAGAGAAAGTATGTACAAACAGGACAGGCACGCAAGACTTTGTCAGAACACTTTTCCACTGTCCCACAATTTGTGGCTGGAAAGGTAGGTTAGGAAACATAGGGGGAAGGCTAAGTGGGGTAGTTTTTACAATACAAGGAGTCACTTTAGTTCCCTAAGGATTTGTGGCAGTCAATATATTCATGAATAAGCAGGAAAAACAGTACCAATGAAGAAATAAATTTGATGCAAAAGCAAAATGATCCTTGTGGTTTTCTCTAAGCCACTGGCCACAGGGAGAAAACAAATATGGAGCTGGAGGGACTCCTGGTATGGCTGAATATAGTGATCAGAGGTGAAGTGGGACAGATGGTCCCAGGAGGGTCACTGGTCTGTGAGGGATGTTTGGAAAGGTACCTGTGCTTCGCCTGTAACATGGAGAGACATCTGTACTTAACTGTGCTGCCAGAAAACAAACAGTCTCTCAGGCGGGCGTTGCCTCCTCCCGTCTGTGTTGGAGGGTGTCATTTCGCTGTGTGTGCACTAAGGAGTGTCAGCCTTAGCTGTGAAACGCACCGGGTGACTGCTCCCCTGGGCTTTGTGCGGGCTGGGCAGAGGGCGCGGCATGGCTGGAGGGCAGGCAGGAAGCAGGTTTGTCAGCACCCAGCCTGAGACATTTTTTGGGCCATCAGCCTTCATGCAGCTCAGCCCAGACTATCTCCCACCTAAGGCCGTCCTGAGAAGTCTCCAGCCTCCTAAGAATCAGCAAAGAGATCAGTGCTGACCACAGGGAACCAGGGCCAGGTGCACTCAGCCACCCTGAGAGCACCAGGAGCAGGCAGGCCGGGGCAGCCTGGTCTTCAGACGTCACCTTTACCTGTGAAAACAGATCCTGAAGGCTGCAGCAAACACCTGAACTGGATTACACCAAACACTGGAGCATGAACAGACCTCTGGCTGACTAATAAGGCTGGAAAATCTGCACCGTCACCCTCTTTGGCTCACAAGGAAAGAACTAAGGAGGGAGATGCTGTGTCTTATTTCAGCCAGCTCCTTCTTAGAAGTTAATGCTGAGAAAGCACCATCAAATCCCACTTGGAAAGAACCTGCAGCCTGCTGAGTGTGCCATTCCTGTGTTTGCCCAGGCATGGTTCTAGTCATTAAGCCTCCTCACTTCCTTCAGGTGGTTTTAATTTCTTCCAAAATAGACGCACAAATCTGAGAACTGTGAAATAAAAACCAGAAATTATGTTTCTGCCACCATAAGCCTAAGGAACTCATGACCTGCAAGGATGTAAGACCAAGTCCCTAACAAGTGGGCACAATAAATTTAAGAGTAACTACAATAAGTGTGTTTGACCATTACACTGTTCCCAAGGAAAGGCAGGAAAACTGTAAAAAAAGTATCCTTTTCCCCTAAGAAGACCCTAGATTACCCTGAGCCTAAGCATGAGGAAATTCTAGAGTTTGCTCACTTTTAAAGTATAGCTGTCATGTACTTTGATTCCCCTGAATAGATCCTCATTTTTATTTTAGAAATGAAGTTCAGGAAGAACCCGAAGATTTCATACTTTTGTCTGGATTGTGTGACAACTTGTTTGCAGCAGCAGTTGTAATTCTGAGTGGGCAGCCTGCTATGCATGCATAGATGAACTCTACAGTGTGTTCACAGAAGTTCAGTGGCCCCAGGTAGTGCCAGAGTAATAGCATTAGTGCTACACAGAAAGTCTGTGTGTATGCAATGAGGCAAATACACTCAGGACACTTGTCATAGCTGCATGGATAGTATAGTATAGTTAAGCAAGAGCAGCAATTTCAACCACCTACACTGCACTCGCTGTGTATGCACTCGAGTATATCTCTTCATAGAATCCTTGATAGAAGTAGATGAATTCTGGTTTGAAACAGCTTACATGATATCTAAGAAGGACTTTAATTTAAAAAATATTTTAAATATTCTGCAACTCTTAAGAGAAAACTAACTTACTGAATAAGATTCCAGAGAGTGAAAGCACTTGACAGTTCTTGGGAAGTATCTGGAATGCATTCAAAAAGATATGGTCCTATTTGCACTTGTGATGCATCTGCTGGTATGTTGGAAGTGGAACAAGTGTCTGCATCTTATGTTTGTGCAAGATGGGAAGCTGATGGTCTACTGATACAGATTTAGAGTCTGGGGAATAAAAACAGTTTCAAGAGTGACTGGTTGTGTCTACATCTGTAAGGAAAGATTACCATAGCCTCTGGATCCAAATGAGAGTTGAAGAGGTTGAAGTTTCTGCATATAAAGGAGAAAAAGCTTGAGCAAATCAAGATCTCTGTATCTTACTTCAAACACACAGGCAGCTGATACACTAGTCCAAAAGGACACTATGTTGGCCGGGGTTTGTTTATGGAAGCAGAGAGGTGTGCTACAATGTTCAGTTTTATTCCATATGGCAGTTTTCCTTAAAGCTACTCATCTAGAGTGCCTTCTAGTGAGTAGCTATTAGCATTTATAAAGCTAGAAAAAATTTAAATAATGGGTAAGGTGATGTAATGTGTTTTGTGTGTTTTCTTCATGCTGCAGAATTTAATATCTTCATCAATGACATGGAGAGTGGGATTGAGTGCACCCTCAGTAAGTTTGCAGATGACACCAAGCTGGGCGGGAGTGTTGATCTGCTCGAGGGTAGGAAGGCTCTACAGAGGGACCTGGACAGGCTGGATCGATGGGCCCAGGCCAACTGTATGAGGTTCAACAAGGCCAAGTGCCGGGTCCTGCACTTCGGCCACA